ATTATAGATAAATACATATTTACAATTCGAAAAACAACGGGCAACACCCGACTGAAATAGCTATACAGTTAAATTTAGTGTAAAGACTACAACGATAGTCTGAAACAACTACACTAACACACTCACAATACAATAATACTATTACAAACTCCCACAAGTGGTAAATATAAGTTCCTACACAAGAGAATAAAATTACAAAACAAAACAACACACCTTCTCTAGATAAATGATTTTTTTTATTCTGAAATAGTATGTTGCCCATGCGATATACGAGCGAGTCGCTTCAAGTGAGTTGTGATCAAGACGTTTGGAAAGACTTCAAGAAGTATCTCAACTATAAGATAAAGCAAATAAGTGTTGAAGACGCGGTTGTTCGTCTCCATATTGAAGAGGACAATTGTAAGAAGTTAAACCCTCGACCTGTTGGTATTCTTCGCGTCACTAATGCTCTCTTTGACCTTAGACTCTTTCTAGCTGTGGAATCTTCAATCTCCGTTCGACCTGGTGGCTGATCCAGTTCGGTTAAGTTGTCTCTTTGGTCCAGTTGACTTGGTACGGTTCTCCCATATCATCTAGTCCCCCCTCCCCATATCGACTTTGGCTCTCCCTTTGTATTTGACAGCTTCTGCCGTCTTCGACCTACAAAACTCCTCTTGAATTCCAAATTCAATTTTTGAATTATTGACACTTTGACACGTCATTCTGACGCCCATCCAATTGACATGCCCCCCTTTCTAGTCCGTGCCTACCTTGTGCAGTGTACTAATCCCATCCGTTCGCGTCCCATCAGATCCAACGGTGCATCTCCTTCCATCTTTCCATCTACCGGTTTCCATCCTACCTGTTCATTCTCCCCTTAAACCTACGGTCCTGCTCGAACAACTGTTCAACTTTGTGACAATTAATCCGACTCGTCCATTTCCACTCGATCGGAGGGTTAGGATATGTTGGCCTTCACCTTCTTCCCATTTTCTTTTATAAAAACCCTACTCCCTCTTCATTAATCACTTTCGCTCTTTCGCTTAAATTTCTCATATCTCTTAACTTTTTGCATACCAGCACCTCTTTGTTCTTGTCGGAGACCCATCGTTGACCATCGTAGATCGCCGCTCTTCTCTGCTCGAAAAATGTCTTCAGTCAGTAAGTTTTCTGCTCTCATATGTTTCGCCATTGCAATTTGTCATTTTTGCGTTGCCAATTTTATGTGTTATTTTCTCTATCTTCTTCAATTTCCCCGAACTCCTCCACCTTAGCGAATTTTTTCCTTTCTTTTGTTTTTTTTTTTCTTTTTTTAGATACTAGTGCGACCACTAATTCTGATGTCGGCTCTGTCGGAGGGGATATGACCTCCCCTTCATCTTCCTCGAACACTTCTTGTTCCATTCCTACTTCTCCTCCACCTGAAACAAGTGCTCGCCCAACCTCTCTACCTCGTCGACCTCTCCAATTAAAGTATGAATCTGAAGATGATATTGATTCTTCCCCTTCTAGAGCTCTTCTGCCATCCGCCATACCAATGGGTAGACCTATTGGAGGTGCTACCCTTGAGACCCCGGAAGATATGATGACTGTGGCTCGAAAACCCAACACTTTCCTCGATGCTTAGTGTCTGTGGCTCGAGCAATTCCTAATCCTGGGTGGATTACCTGAGTGATATAGCCATATTATAATAAATCAGTTTAAGTATTGACAGCTCGACCGGGTGTCGGCCTAAGTAAGGCGTAACTACCCAAGTCAGCTGACAATTATTGTAATGACTTGAGGAGATTGAGTTGTACTAGTGAGAATGATTTGCAATAAGGGTTTAATCTCAGGACCTGACACTAGTGGACAGCTCGAGGTCGACCTCACCCTCCTCTCTCACCTCGAGGTCGACCTCCTTTATTATTTCACCATCAAGTAGTCGACATCCACATCTCGAGGTCGACTTCGATATCCATATAGCTCGAGGTCGACTTATCGCGTTAAGGATTCAAGAACGACTTAGGGACAAGCGGAAAGACCTCATAAGATGGTGATTCCATCTCTTTACTAACTCCAAGTCGACTTTTTGTTGCTCGAGGTCGACTTCCTATTCCTAGTAGCTCGAGGTGTATGATAACTAAGGCTACTTCAATACTCTACAGACTTAAGGATGAATCTTTATGAGATAAGATGGAATCTTAAGCTGACTCAGATCTGACTATGAAATGATTAGGATATGGATAAACCGGGCAGCTGGACAGGCTGACCGGGGGCATTCCGAGCAGGTATTTCTCCTCTATAAAAAAAGATGAGGTATGATCAAACCCTAATTTTTACACTTTACACATTTCATATGTTGTTGCTGCTCTATCTGAAGAGCACTCTCCTCTCTTTGTGATACTGACTAAGCATCGGAGGCTTTACGCCAGAAACCCCTCCGGCGTTAAGTTCTTGCAGGTGTTCATGGCGATCTAGAGGCGGTTCAGACAAAATGGAGCTTATATCAACCGATTTACTCCAGATTTATGAGAAGACCAATCACTGAGGACTGGCACTTCGTCACTCCTCGGCTTCTCAACATGTATGAGCAACCCCCTACCGGTTGCTATACTTTTTTCCAAGACCAGATATTAGTCAGCCTTAGATTCCCTATCCGTAAGGATTTGCTAGACCTATGTGTTGTATACGATCTTCCTATAAACCTACTATCTGTAAATGGAATAAAAAACCTGATGTGTTTTACCATATGTTGTTGTTGCCGATTAGGCTTTCTCGATACCAAAGTTTTCAAGTATTGCTTTGAAGCTAGGATGCAAAGGGCAACTCTCTCTGTAGCAGCTCAAAGTGGAGATGACTTCATTGAGAATCTCGCAGTAATATTTCTGGTTGGAAAACTCAATTTTCTTATGTCTGACCTTTGACCCCTTTTCCTTTCCAGTCCGAGTGGATAACCAAAAGACCTCATCACATACGTCGTCCAAAATTTAACCTTGTGATGTAGGGAAGCGTGCGAGTGAGACCATAAACGAGATACTCTCTCGATAAAACTCACAAGAGTCAATCAATTTCTTATTTCATATTCAACTGCAATTAACAAAGAAGAAGGAGTCTTTAAATAAGACTCCTAAAGCCCTAAACCTAACTTGTTCACAAATCTACTAAATAATAATAATAATAATAATAATAATAATAATAATAATAATAACTATATTTATTCTGCATCATTCTCCCCCGATTGAGTAGGATTCGCCCTCGAATCCGACCTGTCCCCGTCGGAGATGTCTCATGAAAGGAATAGCCCAATGTTTTCCCCGATCGAACACGAAGGTTGAAGGTTGCCCGACAACCTCGAAAGTAAACATAATTTCGGGCAAGGATTGAACTGCTGCAAAGGCACATGTATACGCCTTCATACGCATAACCCACACAGCTGAATTAACACAAAACATACCACATCGTTCGCTGCGCTCAGATCTATAACTACGGTCTAGCATCCCGTTGTTGGGTGACTTCGCGATAGACAATCGGAAAATGGCCCACCAGTTATTGAGCCTCGACTTCCGCTCCCAAAAACTATCGTTGGCCAAGATACTCGAAACATCGGGCTTCAACGACGGTATCCCCGTCAAAGGCTCAACTTCTGCGACGTCCCACGTGGGACCAATATTGCCGCAAAAATATGTCTCCATCACCGGAGGCTCCTCATCGAAAATAGGCGGACCGTTGTATAATAGCCCGTCATCTTCCTCAAAAATCACACTCTGTTGCTGCACATCTTGGTAGTCGTGTGCAGCAACGAGCTTAGTCTCGACGGGCGGAGGCGGCCACTCTCCGAAGGGATCCACCTCCGAGATGGTCTCCTCGTCGTCTGCATCGCCGGGCGGCGGTTGTGGAGATCGTCGACGGGGCGCCCCGCCTGGAACACGACCTCCACTTCCTCCGTGAACTCCCCCGCGCACACCCCGGTCGCCGGCGACACGGTTCATCTGCAAATCCCAAATCACGTTGTTAAGCATCAAACGCAAATCCTCGATCCCCATCGAAAGATCTGCAAACCAATCCGTGAAACGCACGTCCAACTGTTCAAATCGGTAGTCGATCTGTTGAAACCGATCGTTGAAGGTTGCATCACATCGTTTGTTTGCGGTATCTTGTCGTTCCGGCGACATCGCAAATCGTATTGACTGCTGATACCAACTGATGTAGGGAAGCGTACGAGTGGGACCATAAACGAGATACTCTCTCGATAAAACTCACAAGAGTCAATCAATTTCTTATTTCATATTCAACTGCAAATAACAAAAAGAAGAAGGAGTCTTTAAATAAGACTCCTAAAGCCCTAAACCTAACTTGTTCACAAATCTACTAAATAATAATAATAATAATAATAATAATAATAATAATAATAATAATAATAATAACTATATTTATTCTGCATCACCTTGCCTTCGACCTCTTGATCGAAAGATGGAATGAGTTTAATATCAACTCCTCTCTGATAGTCGACAGCGAAAAACTCCTGTTTCACTGCAGCCTTACCAAGGGGCGGTATCCTCGCTTGTCCAGTGCCGAGCTTGGTAGGTTACTTGTCTTAGACCTGTCGCTTACCTCTGTGTTGTGTTTT